ATTCTGTAACAGCGATTACACTCAGAAAGACCATGTAGACACCTATGTACAGATCTGACAGGTGACATAGACAGAGCACTAACATTCAAGGGCTCTCCAGAGGAGAGTGTGGTGGGGCACAATGTTGTTAAATGTGGCTAGTTTTAAAGTGGTTCAGTGGTCATACCGTGGAAACTTTGTTTACCTGGATGCCCAGAAAAAAATATGAAATGATGATGATGATGATGATGATGAAGATGAAACTTTGTTTAAAGTGAGTCCAATTTGGAATCAATGGAAAATAAAGGCCCCGGTAAGGGTGCAGGGAAAAATCCCCTAGAAAAATCAGTAGTTTCGATTTGGTATAGACTAATTTGGGTTGCTATATTTAGTCTTATAAAATAGAAATACTTCCAGAGAGCAAAGCCATATCTTCCCATTGAGCACGGGGACTAAAAAGCTGGGCAAAAATTTGATGGTTCTGGTTGTAGTGTATAGGCATGTTTTGTATTGATTTAATTTTAGTTATCGTTGCTTTGCATTGCATTGAAATTGTTGATTTTGTCGGGTCGCCAACCCGTTACAAATCTCGACATCCCCCATCACCACTTGTCTGACACCACGACGAGGTCATCAAACTAAATTAATATTCAAAACCAATCAGAGACGTTATGATGATTGCTGTTCACTAGTCTAAAAGTATAATTTTGGGATGCCTGAAATAGGAACTAGCAATTATAGAGCCAAATACCACTCCCCAGCAAGGGGCAGAAACAGCATGCATGATGTGAATAAAAATTATGAAATTATGGCACCTGTGATACCCAAAAATAGCATCTCGCAACCAAGAATAGGAGTAATAAAGGCTGGCTTTATCCGCATAAGCCTTGTGTGGTGACTAACCCCAACATTTCATACATAGTTAATTATATTTATATGTTTATACCTTTAAACATTGTCAAAATTACATTTTTTTTTTAGGGTGTAGACTTTTCTATTATTTGCCATTTTCTCTTATTTGATACTTTTAATTGTAATATTTCTATCTTTAATGTAATAGGCCTATGTATGTAATATTTATTAATGTGAAACTGAATTTTTATGTAATTGTATGTACCGTATTGTTAATCTTTAGACATTTTTTTTTTATATCGTTTTTTATTTTTATGGCGACTTTCCATCACAACAACAACAAAAACAACAATAACAATAACAATAATAATAATAATAATAATAATAATAATTCAATGAGACTAATTAAAAATAATTTGCGTTCTGTTATGACAAATGCTCATTTAGATAGCCTCATGATGGTTTCAATACATCCTGATAGGTAAAGCAACCTCGACCATAAAAGCGTGGTTGACAAATTTCATGCAAAATTCCCAAAAATATAGAATTTCACTTAAAGGCCAAGTGCGGGTTTAAAATAATTAATGTTTAATATACAATAGGGGGATGGGGGATGACAAAGAACGTGATGTCACTTGATTTTGGAGCACGGTATTCGAAAACAAGGCTCGTGATCTGGGTCCCAAAAACGAAGTGGTGCTACAGGATTTTGAGCTAGTGTTAAAAGATAGGGAATTTCCTAAAATGGACCGACTTCAAATGCTTGCATTCGGTAACCCCATAACAAAATCGTGTCAAACTTCAGATATTCCAAAGTAAATTCGGCCGTTCTTTTCATTTATATGGGTTTTCACTTATGAAAATTCTCAATTATGTGTAAAATAACAGTTTGCCCCAGTTTTTGTTTCGTGAATTTTGCACTAGACAGGGAGTCAGCTGATTCACTCAACCGTAACGAGATGTTAACACAGCCAACCAGCGTGACCACAGCTTGGGTATTTACCCAAGATCTTGGGTATTTTGACTTGGTCTTGGGTTCTTGGGTATTCCGTTCAAATCCTTTGGTATTTTATTTTTACTAAGAAAATAAAATATTTTTGTCATAGAGGAAGAATTAAGAAGTAACAAAGTATATTTCAGGCGGACCATTCAATTTAAGCAAAACTCAACGAAGTGCACATAACATTGTTAATTGACTGTTAATTGCTATAAACATGGGTTTATTTGTGATTTGCGTTGCCATTGATCTTACCTAACTAATGCATTCATAATAAAATTTGATCATTGATATACTGATAACACTGGCCGACTTAGGGCGTATTTTTCTCTCTGTATTATCACCTCATGAATATTAATTTTAATAACTAGAAATTGCAAATTGCAAGTGAAGTGCTGCGAAGAACAACTGCATATAAATGTTCTTCGAACAAAATTATTTATGCGAGTCAAGTGAAAATAATGAATAATAAAACTATAACAAATAATATGAGACACGACCCATTGTGTATATTAGAACACTTCTCATTGGGTAACAAAGTCGTAATTTTTCATTTTTGTCAAAAAGTGTCTATAATGTGGTGAATTTTGGTTTAGGTCTTTTTTAATAAAGTTTCAAAAATTTCTATGTATATGGAAAATGTAGTTGATTACCAAAGGTTACAATTTTTATTTTGAAGACTGCATGTTCTAGGAAGTGTACATTTTCTTTCATGGGGCAAGTTTCCAAGGGCGGGTTTTCTGGGCGAGTTGACTGCCAAAGAGTGTTGCCAAAGTGCGAGCCAGCGTGTTATTTGATCACAAGTGCGAGACATATCACAAGTGTGAGCCAGCGAGCCATGACGTCAAAACAATAGATAGAGACGTTAGCCAGTTGTGCGAGGTATCGGCTGAGATTTGTGGAGTACAATTCAAAAAACAACTATAGGTCTAATAATGAATTATTGTGATGTTAAATAGACAATGTTAGCTATCAAAGAGCGACGTTGTTTTTCATTGGGACCTTTCGTCCCTTCAAGGCTAGGCCTATATACCATCCTAGCTATTCTAGGCCTAGAGTAGGACTAGAAATTGCAAATTGCAAGTGAAGTGCTGCGAAGTACAACTGCATAAAATGTTCTTCGAACAAAATTATTTATGCGAGTCAAGTGAAAATAATTAATAATAAAAATATAACAAATAATATGAGCACGACCCATTGTCTATATATTATTAGAACAGCGTTGGTACTATAGTGTTTTGCTGCAGTGACATCTCTCTGTTGGCGATGGCTCGCTGCTGCTGGCGATGACTCGCTGCTGGCGAATCGATCTGCGCATGTGTATAAAATGGTATTTATTTCCGCAAACACTATGCCAGTGTAGAACAACAAGCGTCGCCTAAATGTAATAATTAGCACGTTGAAATAGGCTAGTAAATAAGTTTAACTGGGTTCGTAAATAATATTGTCCTCAAAATATTGTGGCTGAGACATGAGCCGATTAAACGTAGAAATAGGAAACCTAGAAATATAGTAAAAACGCTGAATAGTACTCCAGCGTCGCGACATGCCGACGTTGGTACGAGTAGGTTAGTCTACAAACGTCGCCTAAAGTAATGGATTTTACCCGGCAGAACGAAAGGAGGAAACTCCGCTATACAGTTGTCTCAGGCGATTGATTTTTGACAAACAATGACCTTTCAGAAGTCAAATTTCTGTCAAGAATATGAATTGGCTGCTTCGCAGCAATAAGGCTAGCGCGACATGCGGACGTTGCACAGTGGGCCAGGGCGAAATCAAAGTGTGCCAAAACTCCATTTTGGTGACTATGGCTTTTACACTTTTTTTCACATGATTGAATATGGGTATACCCTGGTTAATCTATACTGAAAATATTTTACATTTAAACGAATTTTAAGTGTAGTATTTTTCAACAAATGTCGGAAATTTCTCTATAAATATTTCAAATGCTATAATTGACTACATTATATCTAAACAGGTTTTTTTTTCTTACAGAAAATTCGAAATTACTTCAAAATGCACAGGTTTCTTGTATATAAATTGGGGAACACAAATATATGTTTTGGTTTAAATTTGAAGTTTGCATCAATAATAAATCGTTGTTTAAACGACAGAAAAAATATTAAAAAATCTATTTTTAGAAAAGTAGAAGAGAAAGTTTAGATTCATGTGGATTCATGCTTTAATTTTTACATCACCATCTTCAGTATAGCCTTAGCTTTATGATGGTACCAAATTTAGCTGCTACTTTTTGCAACTTTGCGAGCTAGACTTGTTTTCGAACATTTGAGACACAATTTAATTAGAGCAAACCGCAAATCTGAGGG